TTTTTTTTTTTTTTTGGTACGGACCTTTACTATACGCATTCCACCTCGATGGTTCGTGTGAAAGTTTTTTTACATCATCAGCATAAATTAACCTGCAACATGTATGATGTAACTATCTGATAATCTTAATTTGATTATTTAGAAAATAAAGCTGATAATCTACAATAATACATTAAAATATATTGATAGTTTCAAAAGCTTTTACACTTCCACTTCCATTATTGTTAAGATTGAAATAATCAGGAGTCATGCGGAAGCTAGTAAATCAAACCTTGAACGATGATAAATCAGACAAAAAAAAGAGAATTACACCAAAAGAGACACAAACATTTAACGTGGTTCGGTCAATTTGACCTACGTCCACGAGCGGAGATGAGCAATCCACTATATAAAAGAGAATACAAAATATCGAGAGAACAACCTCAAGAAGAGGCAAACACAAGTGGCAACACTTGTCCCTCTAAACAAAACTCTCAAACTCCATATGGCGACATTGTGGATACTGTTAAATGAGAAGAGATGATCCTCAATTTAGAGAAGTCTAAAACTTTTTTCCTCCAAGAAAAAGGACTAGCCAAATGTGGGAGATTTATAATTTCCTTCCAAGAAAAGGAAAACTCAATTATGGTAAATATTTCATCAAGAGATAGAAAAATCAAATATGATAAGAAAATCAGGACAAATACCTAATAAGTATAAGTAATCAAATTAGGATAACTATAGACATATGCTTATAACGGTGGGCTATCTTAACTTGATAGCGTATAAAATATATACACCATCAGCGGGTAGAAATAAAATTCCAAAATAAATTCTTTTATAACGCATTCAAAGTGTTTATGTAATTGAGTGTGAATATTTACTTGTTGAAGAGAATATGTTACAGATTGCAACCGGTCCACCTACAACGTTTTTACACAGTCAGTGGAACTAAATTGAGAAATATATATTTTTTACGCGAACTCTATTTTTTATTTTTTTGTATGACTTGCCATTTTGAGACACTTAAAATGCTAAAAGTGATTCGATTCACATATGTTCTTGCAATTAATTCATATTTTTCTTGTAGTAAGCTAGTTTATTTGACAATTATTCAATCGAATTCTAAATCATTTTGTAAACTATGCTCGATTATTCATTAAGAAAAAAGAAAATGGAATATAGGTAGAGGAATTAGAACAGTACAAGGAACACAGAAAGAGTAGATTGTAAAGAGCCAAAACTGATCTGTGATTCTAACAACCTTTATCATTTATAGCTAATCAAAGATACATCTAAATTGGCAATAAGATTCTTTCCCAGAGGACTCAAGCAAATGATGGAAAAATATCTGCCATTGCAAATTCTTGATTTGTACCTAGCAATTAACATTGTAATAAAACTTAATCACACCAATGAATAGAGAAAATGCGTCTCTTATATACAGTTCTATCGCTCAATAATGGTTGAGTAATGTATATTCTCACTTTAATTCATCACTTAACCATAATAAATTAGTGATGTTTTGTGTCAATTATAGGCGTGGAATCTCCGTATCTTGCTAGGTGTTTTTTTTTTTAAAATTGAAATTGAAGAAATTGGCAGTGTGAAAATCAGATTTTATCAACCATTTGCTGGCGAGCATAAGTTTTTGAAGTACCTTTTGAGGTTTGTCTCAATCAGTTTACACAATATGACGATGGATTATGCTTTCAGGAACAAATATAAGCAACTCAATACAAACAGAAAAGACATTTTCTTGGGACTGCTATTATTTTGGAGGGTTTCTTTATTGTAACAAAAGGATTCCTCAAGCTCTTTCACCTCTAAAGTTACTTTCATTTGTTGACCATCAAATATTTAACCCCTCTCGAACATCAAATATTTAATCCCTCTCTGGTGCAAGCAATGTCACGCGACACCGCTTTGTCGAATTTCTTTTTAAATAAATATATGTAGATAGTATACAAAATTAAAATATTGGGTATAAATATAAAAAATGACACTACTTATCATTATAGTATTTTATTTATTTTGTTCATTTTCTTCGATTATTGACACCGCTTACCAAAAATTCTGTGTACGTACTCCCCTCCCCTCCCCTCCCCTCCCCCACCCAAAAAGAAAACTCTATGTGATGATATACCTTTCTCACACTTTTTAATCCTACTTTCCATGGTCGGCTTTAGATAATCATCCCTACACTTGGAAAAGAAACTGGCAATTGTAGATAGCCATCTATTTAGTGCTTAAAAGCAAAAAATTCCCTTTGGCTCAACAAAACAGTGTAGGGTCCAAAAATAAGGAAAATTCAGGGTGGGGGCTTCTTTTCTTTTTTCCTATTAGCTATAGATGATATTGACTTGTTAAAGTTAACCAAGAAGCAAAAACTCTCCCTTAAAAAGGAGATTCTTTACCTGTCCCACAACTTATTAGCTTTTAAATATTCCATGTCCATGTACCCAATGATGCCATAAATTGATTCCCTCCATTCTCAAACATTTAATCAATCCATACAAGCATCTCTTTTTGTTCCTCTCATCTCTCTCTCCCAAAAAATGGCTCAACAAATGGGGGTAAGTCTTGCTTCTACTTCCATATCAACTTCTCTCTTTGAACAAATCAAGAATCACAATAATGTAAAGCATATTGTTTTCTACTTATGTTTACACTCACATCTTTTCATGCAGAAATCTAGGGTCACAGAGATACAGGTGAGAATGGACTGTAATGGATGTGTGCAAAAGATCAAGAAAGCTCTACATGGCATCCATGGTGAGTAAGTGATGCTTTAAGTACTAATTCTTTCTTTTTAAGTGCTAATTCTATCTTCATCTCTCCTATAAGATGTTATAATATTCTCTGTGTGTCTGGTGTTTCTACAGGTATTTATGATCTTTATATAGATTTTCCTCAGCAAAAGATTACTATAGTAGGATCAGCAGATCCTGAAAAAATAGTAAAAGCACTAAAGAAGACAAGAAAGAGTGCTATTGTTTGTTCCCACATAGAACAAGCAGAACCTCCGACAGAGCCAGAGGAACCTGCACCAGCTGAGAATGAAGCACCACCCCCCGAGTCTAGCAATCCTCCAACAGAAGCTCCACCAGCTGAAGAACCACCGAAAGAACCGCCGAAAGATCCACCGACACAAGAAAATCAACAAGCAGAGGAGAAACAAACACATGATGAAGGTGCTGATAATACCAAAAGGCAACCAGACCAACCCTCTAAACCTAGAGACGTCGAAGAAGTTCATGTAATATACCACTATCCACCAGACTACGGTTACAGACACAACTTTAGCCAGGGTATGAGCAGTCACGAGCCACCCCGGGATCATGGATACAGATACAACTATGGGAAGACCATGATCCATGAGCCACCCCGGGACCCTCGTTACAACAGATACAACTACGGCCCGAGTATGAGCCAAGAGCCACCCAGGGACCATGGTTACAACAGATACAACTATGGTCAGAGTATGAGCTATGAGCCACTTAACTACGGCCGGAGTATGATCCATGAACCTCCTCCGGGAAACACTGGCTACAGAAATAATCATGTTCGTCCTACTGGTCCAGAATTTAGACCTGAGGCGCCGCCACCAGGTCAACCACCAGTTTATGTGACTCACAGCTACAATAGCTACCAACCATCACCTTATGTGACTGGATATGAGTACATCAGGTCACCACCAAGATACACACAATATACTAGGCCAGAGCATTACTCTGAGGACTATCACTATGGAAACGATGGCAATGGAACAATCGGCTCAGTTTTCAGTGATGAAAATCCAAATGCATGCACTATTGCTTAAGGAGGATGAGCAAAATGGTTTGCAAGGGAAGCAAGTGATTTTATTTTTTGTTTCACCTGTAAGAGAGAAAGATGCCTAACAAATTCCAGATGATTTGTAAAGTAACTCTCAACAAACAAAAATAAAGCAAACATGTGCAAATGTTGAGAGTAATGAGATTCTTGACTTCAAAAGCAAAAAGGGAATATATCCTCCACTCCATCTCTACAAGGCTAATTCAGACCACCTGGCATTCATTTCCTGAAGAAGAATACTAATAAATTTCCTTTATTCTTGGAATTTATTCCTCAGCTTTACATTTAAAAATTTAGCCATGCTTGAAAGCTTCATTCTTTTCTGCCAAAATAGAGAAAGTTGAACTTGACTATGAGATGGAGAAATAAAGGAATTTGGTGATCTCTTTTTTAATCTGTGCAAGAAAAAGTTTTTTAAATTAATTCCATTTGAATGGCTCAACCTATTATCGGCTTTGCAAAATCTGAGCAATTACATTTCCTGCTGAACATATATCTTTAGGCAGGAAAATGCAGATACCAATTGGCGGATATCAATTCTCAGAAAAAGGATAAGCTGATCACCCAAAACATCTAAAGCTTACCCATGCCGATCCGCAATTATAGCCAGATGCAAGAAAAAATGTACTAGTCGCTAATTCTAATAGAAATAAAGTAGCTAGAATCCCTCACAAAATTGTAATCCAGGCTGTTAATCACAAGATATCTCAAATTAACGAACATTCAAGTAACGCATAAATGTGACAACACTGCTTGCACCAATGATGACTACATAGATTCAATCGCACCTGGTAACACTCTTTTGAGTGCATATTGATTGAGTTGCCCTAGCGAATGGACTCAGTAGAGACACAACCCCCGTACTACATTATGAGCAGAGGAAT